GCATCCTTTATTTTGTTGTGGTACTCAACAAGGAAACTTTTTTCAGACTCAAAAAACTCATCTACATCCTGTCAAAATATTCCATTTCCCTTGAATTTGTAACATTTGTGGATTTTTTTTTGTGCTTTGAATTTAAAGAAATATATCTGAGTAAAGTTCTTAAATATTTACCTTTTGGTTTGCCAAAAGTACTTCATCAGCAGTTTTGGTAATGCTTTTGAAAAATCCACCAATCTTTTCTTTCTTGTTTTTACCTCTAACACTCAACTAAATGAGGCCAAAATTAAATATATGAAATATAAGATATTAAGACATAATAATATGCATTAAGCAATTTTAAATTGAGCACAGAAGTGATCTTAGTGAGAGTGTAATATTGAGGATTATAAAAATAGGGCAAATGTGCTGTAGGATGAACTCACATCTTGGTCAAATGAGAGAAATACTTCAAAGTTGACATCATTCTTGAGCTGGGGATGAGCAGCAATTCTTTGTAAGAACACTTCATGCATTGCTACAGTCTTCTTAAATGTAGCTAAGTACTCCCTATAGAATGAAAACATAAATTGGTTCAGGCTATATTTAGCAATTTATCCCCCAAATTGGTATATACATGTGTATTTTTAGTGAGAAGTAATTTTAGTGATTTAATAATGTCAAGAGAGATAACTATATAACAACCGAAATGGAATAAACTGTTAGCGATATTCAATTTTAGCGATCTGAGAGCAATAGCTAACACATGTAATACCAAAATTGAATCCTCGCTAAAAAATTCTGCTTATACGGTAATAAATAATGAAAATCATGAGGTGTTGTTATTTTCTTACGCTTCTAATTCCTGTTTCATTTTTGTGAATTCTTCTTTAGTCATAGTTCCCTCCCCTTCTCCAAGCTTTTGTAATTTTTCTCTTGAAGCCTCAAAGTCGGGTTTCGGTGGAGCTGGTGGAATCTGCAAGTGAAATATTGGGCTGATGACAATGTAAATATGCTGTGTCAAATTGATATATAAGTGTGTGTGTGTTTTAACTTGGACAATGTGCCCTATGCTTGCAGAGAGAGAAAGAGTGAACAAAATATACAGTAGCTTCCTTTCAAATTTTGTCACTTCTGGCTCAGTAGTTCTGAAGAGATATACTTTCAGATGACCTTACTTTATTTTTACTTTTCCTTAAAATATCTCTCTCTGAAAGGACTTGCTTCTTTTTCAAAAAAATAAATAAATAAATAAATAAATTTGAATCTCAATAACTCAAGAATGTTTTGTGACAAGTTCGATTAACATGAGTGTTTTGTGACAAGTTTGATTTACATTGGTCTTTTGATTCTGGAGTAGAAGCCAAAAATTTAAAAAGTTCACAAATTACACAATATTAGATGAAAATGGGTTACAATTAAACATGCAACAAGAAGCACTTTAACCTGGTTTATAGATACTTACAATAATACCGGCATATTCTTCATTTTCAACAAATCTGTCATGTAACCACACAAATTCCTCATGTTGCCTCACAACTGAGAAGTCAGATTCTTTAAATCTTGACTGTGTTGTCTAATAAAACACATACATAAGTAAGAAAATAATATATCCAAGCAGTTCCTAATAAATCAGTTTTCTAACAAATATTTCACATCAGGATGTTATAAAATGTTTATTAAAGTTTACATACCGTATATACTCGCCTATAAGTCGGTCCGCCTATAAGTCGGTTGTATTTTTTAAGCTAACATTAAAGGGATTGACCCGCTATTATACCAATATTTTCATAACTTGCCTATAAGTCGGACAGGGGTTTTTGGACCAAAGTTTAACTCCCAAAAAACCGACTTATAGGCGAGTATATACGGTAATATACGAATTCTATTTACCTTTGTGTGCACTGTAAATTTTATTTTATCCCGTTCACTAAGAGCATCTGATATGTCTACAAGCAATGAAGTATCTGTTGACAAATCAACACTCACTGCTCTATCCTACAATATAAGAGACTGACATGTCACATGCATTATTTTAACTAATTGTTCAGAAAAAAAATGTTTGCAAGTACAGTCAAACCTCATTATCTCAAACTCAATGGAACCAAGAAAAAACTATAGATATACAAGGATTTGAGATATCCAACTTGTAAAATACATAAAGAATAGTGGTTAGGACTTCCAAATCACTTTGACATAGCCATGGTATTCAAGATATTGGTGTTCAAGATACCAAAGGTTAACCGTATTAGATAACTCATATTTGTATCTATAAAGTAGAGATTCTACTAACTTTCACTTTTACATTGGTCATTGTAGGGGAGACAGTGTGGTATTTTTCATAGGTTTGATACATGGTGCAAAATCCCCCATTTTCAGTTCAGTTCAATTTTCAGTCAGGATCGTTATTCAGTCAGGTTATGCATAGGTAAAACACGTTACTCAGCATAATTAAATTTTAAAAACACAAATTTTTGAGAAGATAGTTTGTAAAATAATCTTTAACAGCCAATTCATTCGAACAATTTCTTCTAGTCAATTTGCACGTAGAATAAGCGACTTGAATAAGTGAAACAAAACAAAAAAGAACGTTGACTTTGCTTCCTTCTATCAAAATGTATAGCATCGAAAATAACCGAACCGAGTCAAAATTATATGATACGTATCGTTTCGCAAAGGAGGCTTATCCCCTAATTAAGGTATATTAATTTTTTTCATTTTGTAGAAGAGTTTAGATGAGAGGTATTTTCTATACATTGGCCTCATTTATATGCACAAGCTGGCTGTAAATGAACCTGATTTTCCACCCAATCAAAATAAGGCAAAAATGTACCTTTTTCTGGACTTTTTTCCTAAGGTAAAAATGGAGTGCAGCTTTGAACAAGCAATTTTTTTCTGTCAGTAATTGGTTTTTGATAGATACATCTTTGGTGAAAATATAAAGTTTGTTTAAGTCTGAGCTCAATATTTTATGGAAAAAAAACTGCTTGAAAATAAGCAATTTTATATGAAATTTGCTAAAACGGTGGGAAAAAGTGAATTTCACGATGCATATTTCTAAATTAATGGCATTTTGAACAAATTGAAACTCGGGAATAAACATCGTGTGTTTAGCTGTGGAAAGAAAACCTATATATATATAAAGTAAAATTAGAAATTTTTGACTGGGGAGGAGGGTAGACCCCCCCTTGAAAAAATTCCTTGGTCCTTGTCTGAAGAATCAAGTCTTTCTGTTTCTCTGATATAAAAAAGAAACAAAAAACTGCAATCTGATTAAAATCAGATCCTTTGATCCACTCACATAGATCGCTACACAAAGATCTGAAGAAACCCTATTCAGGGTCATCTCCTGGTGACCTTTCTAATAAAAATATTCATTAAAATTTTGTCCAATCAGAGAGATCGTACGTAAGCGACATTCAGGAAAATGAATGTAGAAGTGAAAGTAGCTGTGGAGAAGATCTTACCGTTTCGAACAAAACAAAGAGCTAAAAAACAAGGCAAAAACAAGTACTAAATATATTTCTGTACAGAAAAGACTATGGTCATTCTTTTGATAGGCTACGGAAACCAGGTCACGATTTTCCGTTCGTGTATCATCGGGACTTTCACTTCCATAACTGAATTCTGAGATACTTCTAAATTCTTGCAAGCAAATGTTTGATTGGATAATTGAAAGGTCACCAGGAGATGACCCTGAATGGGGTTTCTTCAGATCCTTGTGTAGCGATCTATGTGAGTGGACCAAAGGATCTGATTTTAATCAGATTGCAAAAAACTGTAGTCTGTAGCCCATACCAGACATTTACTTACAACTCGTTCAAGTCATAACCTTTTTGAGATATTCTATACCATTTGAGAGATTAGTCCCAACCTGTTATTAGGTCCAGCACAATCTCTTGGTTTAGCTATCTATCTAGATTGAATTAGCTTTACAGCTTTATTTAGTTAGAATAATCTAACTATGTCTCGGGACAAGCCCTCACCACAGTTAGAATACGTTCCATATACTTGCAATGTAGCAAATCGGAGTGGATCCACTCCGAAATGATTTTGAAGAATACAAAAGGAGTTGCACTGAAAATAACTACCAAATTAATCATAACAAACCTTTTTGAGATTGTATATGCCTTTTAACCTAAAAAATAATCCATATAAATACGAAAATTCAACTCATTTTCTCAACGTTTTTTCCTCGCTTAAAATTAAATGCCATGTTGACATTCGGAACTCTCTGAATTGTTCACAGAAAATGCACAGAGTTCGAGTTATTGCCCATGTTTATTTTGCAACATTGCCAATACACGGAACAAATTCTATTGTTAAACTGGGTCCATAGGACAATATCATTTTAATAATAGAACATTCTATCTAAGCTTTATGGAGCAATTCAAAATAGCTTGATAAAGCTATTTCATTACAGTTTTTCGATTTTTTTCTTCTTTTTGTTAGAAATAGACAAAAGTCGCAAGTGTATGACAAATCATCTTTGTGCTGTCAGGGACCTATATAGGAGTATCTATTTGGTCACCAAAAAAAAATGCTTTATAGCCCCAACCCTTTTATTGTATGTGCTCTGCAGGAGACCGACACATTTTAGAAAATGTATTTTTTCATGCACTGTTTTGCATAAAAATGTAATCATTAAATATATATATGCCCTTAAGTTTCCCTTTATACGCCCATAACATATTTCTTGCTAAAACTGCTGTCCATAAACGTGAACGCATCAATATTCAGCGACAACGGGTTGACGAGGGGGAGTGACACTTCAATTTTGCGCATCTTTACTTACTTTGTCTTCCCCTTCGCCCGCCAAAAGGTCGGGGCTGTCATCTATTCCGTCCTAAAAAATAAAGCAGGGACATTTATATTACTGACAAACAAAAATAATCACGAGAATAATAATTTCAGGAAGCATACGCCACGAAAAGTTGTGGACACCCACCATCATGGCTGCAATTTTATCACGTGACTCAAATATATTGCACATCGAACCCGATATTTAAAAAAAACCTGACGTCACCCCCAGAAGACTGAAAATTACGTCACACGCACTTTTTCCAGAGAAAAATGAAGTGGGTGATGTTTCTATTATCAATAGTTTTCAATTGCGAGGAAATCCATTCTGGTGAGGTCTTTGTGTCTGCTTTCTCAGAATCAGAGATGGTTAGGTCCACAAAGGTCAGAGCGATTAGCAATTTAACGCTAGGCTTATTATGTGTATTAATTAATCAGTCAATACCTTCTTCATATCTATAGGCTATTTTAATCAATTCAGACTTAGTTCTGCCAATAGCGGGGCATAAATTAAAGTAACAAAGATATATGGCACAGATTATACAGTTATAAGTGCAACCTTATATGATAGGTTTATTATATAATTATATGATCTGTTCTATATATGATGATGGAACATCTTCCAGTACATTTCATTCCAAATGACACTGTACACGTACACGTACGAAATCAATCATTCTTATACATGTATAGGCCTATATTGGGATTATCATTTCAGCAGCACAGTATATATGTGGTTTAGTTATTTGACAAGGGCCCCACGTTCCCCGAGTCCCGGCCCGGGACTCACCTTAATTGTTTTTTTATAAACAGTAATTTAATGAGTTCATAAATCAAGACAAAACTTGCCACTCATTTCGTGCGCTTGGACCAAACACTTGCGCTCCATAATATCTTCAGAACTGTTCAGGCCCGTAGGAAGCAATTTCCTTTTTTTTTTAATTTGGTGGTGGTTAGGGTGGGGGGTGGTGGTCAATCAAACATTTTCAGTTTTGGGGGCACTACCAAGGAAAAAATCTTTAACCCGCCCAAAAAAAAAAAAAAAAATCAACAGACGTTACTATTGAGGAACATAAGCATAAAGTAGTTGTGTTTTCTACAATTATATGTCGGCAAAATTAAAGGGGGTGCTTCCCCCGGCCCGTTCCTACGTCCATGCTGATGCAGAGAGTAAATTTACATTTGTAATGGATTTATTATGGGATAGAAAATAAAGGGTTCATTTTGTACCCTTTCTTTGAATTAAAAAGCATAAATACACTTTTATTTATTTATTTTTTTAATGAAGTTAAACACTATATTTTTCAATAAAAATTTCGTTTCTTTTTCAGCTGTCCTCGTTCAGAAGGCACGTGTGAAATCATTAACTAAGGTCGGAATTCCAAGTCTTAAATTATGCATTCAAACGTGTATTCGGACGAAATCCATAGACTGTCAGTATTTAAAGTACAACACAACAACTCAGCAATGTTTGATGTCTGAGAGTAAATATGCCGAGCTGGCAGGCTGGGTATCGGTCAAACCGGAGCAAAGACAGAACGAGAAAGTCGCCCGCCTATTCCTTGAACGAACACATGCAAACAGTAGGTGGATTATATGTGAATGTAGTCAACAATGGCTAAATGTAGATATTTATTTTTTTTTTTTACATATTATTTCAACTAACAAACTTTTTTTTTCTGAACATCTTTTAGACTCCAGTGCAATGTCAAATGCCGACTCTTCTGCCATCGTAGCTCAAATGATAAAAATTCTTCAATTAGAGGCGAAAAGCCTGGAGCTTCAGGTAACGTCATCAAGGCACACACGTTATTGTAGTGAAAGCCAAACTTCAATAAAAAAAAACCTTAACCGGTATATGTATCAAAACTTTTTTTCTTCCAGAAATTACTATCTACAACAGAAAACCTAATAACACTAAGGGGCGGTCAGCACATTTTGTCACCTACGGTCATTTCTTTAGCTAAAAGAAAAATGCAGGTTCTCCATATGAAACTCATGCGCCATCAGCAGCAAGTGACAATGTCATCGGTGAAGCTTTTAAAATCAGGGTCTATCTTAATGAATTCACGTGGAGATGAGAAAAACAAAACTGCATTTTGGAGAAATTTTAATCGTCTTATAGAAACTTTGCGCCTTGACCAGAAGAATATAATGCATGATATCTTGTATGATCTTTTGAAGACCCTACAATTTTACCAACAACTGCAAAACTACAACCTTTTTGTAGGTATTTTATATCAATTGCAGAAAAAAAAATAAGTTACTTATACGATATATTTCTGAACAAGTTATACAATTTACTTGTTTTACAAACTTCATGATTTTATTTCTTGATGAAAAATACAGAATAATTTTAAAAAACATTAATATTGTAATAAAAATAATAAAATGAATTATTTTAAAAACTGTGAATAAATGAATGTTTTTTCCATTTTTTATGGAATTATGAAGTTTTGGGAATATTTTGACACTTTATCTATCTATTTTATTGAAGCAAATATTTAATTGACTTATCCCCATCTATTTTGAAGATCCGCGGGATTCAGAAGCCAACCCCCAAAACCATTCACCGTTGAAACTGTGTGATAAGAATTCCAGACCCTGTGTTCTCTTTTTCGGAGAAGCGACTATAGGAAATGATATATATGATTTGTAATAACAATTGAACTGTAATAAACTGTATTGTACAGTCCTTTTTATTGTCAGATGAAATAAACTGCATTATAAATGAAACATCGCAAATATCAATACTCATGTACGTACTGGGTAAAGACTATAATTTCAAGTTACACATATTTGTATTACCGTTATCAAATTTACTGGAACATTTATAAAGTTCTATAATAAGCACTTAAAAAAACTGTCAACGATAGAGTTATCGGACAGTTCAGTTTCCTATTTTTTTTTTGGGGGGGGGGGGGGTTGTACCCAGTACTCGGACAATTCTATGCGAATTGGTGAAATTTCTACATTCCCAGGTGCATCAGAGTCAACGGTAGCTATCTTGATATGCCGCCTAGATGGAGCTACATCAGAGCTAGCTTAGGGAACTTTGCATTCAAAGGTACATCAAAATGCGTATGATACGCCCGTATGATCTCTGTATTCAGAGGTACATCAACGTGTGTTGATGGAGCTCTGTTTTCTGACGTGCATCAAAGCCCAGGTGGATGGAGCTCTACCTGCACCAGGCCCGTAGGAAGCAATTTCACTTGGGGGTGGAAGGGGGATGGGGCACAACCATACATTTTCAGTTGGGGGGGGGGGGCTATCAACTATCAAAAATTCCTTGACAAGCAAAAAAATAAAAAAAATAAAAAATAAAAATAAAGGTCACCAGACGTTAATATTGAGCACAGGCACTTGGGGTCTGGACCCCCCCCCCCCTTTTCCATTTTTTTTTTCTTTTTAAATATGGAGTCGATTCACCCTTTTCCTATTTTTGTATTCTAATATGCACTATATGTTATCAATAATGTAACTCTTTTGTCTCTATATGCTGTTTTTAAATATACCGTTTTCGACTGATACATAAAAAGAGAGAAGGCTTGCAACTCTTTTCTCATCGTCTGCCTCACCTCGCTTAAACTTCGCCTGATTATTTATCGAAAGAATAAGAAAACATGGAATATGCATACATCAATAAATTCGTTATACATTCTTCTTTCTTTTCATATTTCCATTTAATTTTTATGTGCCCCCGATTTGTAAATATTTCGATTAAATCATCCGCATCTAGGGTAAATTTTGTTGATGTGCACCAGCTGGGACGGAAGTGCCCGGTATTTTCGGGTATCATCATTACATGTAATGTAATTCGGAACATTAAATGCGAGAAGGAATACATCCCGAATTTTCTCTTCATATAACATGTAACGGTAAGTTCTGTGAATAACAAGATAACTTTAACTAGCAAATTTTAATGGATGAAGATTATACTTTAAATAGACGACCTAGACAACCAAATTCCACAATATTGTTATTACAAACCTGGATTTTTTTTTAATGCAGAACATTTATAAAGTTAGAGTTACCGTTATTGCACTTCCGTCCCAGCTGGTGCACATCAACAAAATTTACCCTAGATGCGGATGATTTAATCGAAATATTTACAAATCGGGGGCACATAAAAATTAAATGGAAATATGAAAAGAAAGAAGAATGTATAAAGAATTTATTGATGTATGCATATTCCATGTTTTCTTATTCTTTCGATAAATAATCAGGCGAAGTTTAAGCGAGGTGAGGCAGACGATGAGAAAAGAGTTGCAAGCCTTCTCTCTTTTTATGTATCAGTCGAAAACGGTATATTTAAAAACAGCATATAGAGACAAAAGAGTTACATTATTGATAACATATAGTGCATATTAGAATACAAAAATAGGAAAAAGGTGAATCGACTCCATATTTAAAAAGAAAAAAAATGGAAAAGGGGGGGGGGGTCCAGACCCCAAGTGCCTGTGATATTGAGGGGCCACAAGCATATAGAAGCTATGTTTTCTATAGTATTGTTTATATCGGCACCCCCCCCCCCCCCGTGCCCCCTCTGGTTTCTACGGCCATGTGCATCGTACAAGTGTGATCTCTATTCACAGGTACATGTGCATTCACATGCATTTGTGGTGGGCGGAGCTTTGTACTCACAGGGGTAGGTCTACATAAACATGTGTAGGTGCAGCCTATCACAGACCCTGTATTCACGTAGTGTACGTACATTTACTTCTGCCTTCGGTGGTGGTCGGCATTCGCCGGTACCTTGGGAAGAGGGATGTAGGTGAAGCTCTGTATTCATGGAACTACGTCAACATGTGTAGATGGAGCTCTGCATTTACAGGTAGGCTACATGAATTTATATCATCAACATGTGTAGATGAAGTCAGCTGGATGCTGTGCATGTAAAGGTGCATCAACGTGCTATAATAGGTGGAGCTCTATGCACAGGTAGAGGAGGAGCTCTGCGTTCACAGGTAAAGTATCTGTGGAACTGCAGCCACAACTACTCTTACATGTGTAGATGGAGGTCTGCATTCACACTTGACATGTGTAGCACAACACATACATGCAGGTACAAGATTCAATTTCTACTAGATCTATATTTCAGCTTCAAAAGTTAAGGCCATTATTATAAAAAAAAAAAGGTGGCAGATAATATTTTCTTTTTGGCACAAAAAGGAACCTTTCGGCCTTCTTACACTAAATTCATGATTTTGCAAAAAAATGTATGACGTCACAAAATATACGTAAAACGTCATTGGGATGGAGGAAATGGCAGACGCTAAAACAAGTTAGGATGTTAAAGTCAGTGCTCTTGTGCTCATTGTTTTTATTGTGTCTACAAAATGAAAATACAGGTAAATGCCACAGATTATATGTTATATCTAGATCTAAAAAAGATTTTTAGGTTGTTTTGTGTTCTGATGTGAAAACTGAAAAAAAGAAAAGAAATGGAGATCGTTAGATGGTTAAAGACAGTGCTATTCTGAAATTTGTTTTAAGTGTGTGAACGAAATGAAATTACAGGATAATCATTAAAAAAAAAACATATTATGAAAAACTGCTTTCAGTTTCAAGAGCTAGCCTACTTCGGTACGCATTGTCACCGATTTTGATAAAAATTTGCCCATCGTTACAACTTGACACCAGAAACATACATGTATCAATTAAAATTTGGTTGCTATGTGTCGTGGTTTCCATGAGATTTTTGAGATTTTCAGCATTTTTTAATCTTATTAAAGACTAAGAAAATCAAACAACCCATTCTCACAAAAAACATCATATCTTGTTGCCACTTATGTTATAAAAAAATTATTTGGAATATATATCTCTAAGTAAGTGGTAATCATAGGTTCATTTAGAATACATTTTAAATGCTGAAAAATGCTGGAAAAACGCTCAATATTCACTAATGATAGGTGTAACATGATCAAACTTAATCATCAACAAAAGAATAGTATTGGGAATATTATTCTAGAAATAACTTTCATCACAGTATATAGCAACACAAAATTTGTTGCTTAGGTTTGGTTAATGCTGAGCTATCTAAAGGTAAAACAAAATTCAAGTGATAAAAAGTTGCATAGATTTGTAAAGGGACAAAAAGGTAGAATTTTGAACATCATAGAAAGTTTAGAATTTCGGAAATTCAATATTTGCATCATTTGCAATCAAAATAGGTCCAAAAACATATATATTCTAATCCAGGCATCCGGGGTTTTTTTTTAGTTTGTATCCTCTGTCTCTAACAATACAACAATTTTAAACATCTATAAACATCAAGCATAAAAATAATACGATTGTCAAAAGAGGTCATTTTTTCTGTATGTATATAATTATATATATATACATGCATTGTATTAAAAATATGACGTCATTTGATTGTTGCGTAGTTTTGTTAACGTCCAGCACATGTGACAATGCAGTGTAGTCGGAAAAGCCCTTTTTGAGTTCACCAGTGCGATGCACTTCTAGTTATGTTAATTTATTCTTACATTTTCAGAAGAATTTGAATTACATATATCCCATATTACACGTAAAAGCTTTATATTAATATAATAATTTATATCATTCTCAGGGGAATTGCTTAGGAAATATATAGGCAAAACAAGAAATATTTGAGAAACATATATACCCTCCGGATCCGTGTGGCAATTTTAGAAAGGAAGCAACTGTAAAATTTAGAATGTTTGTAATGATAGTGAAAACAATTGGTCATCTACTAGTCAGAGGCAAACATAATACTAAGTTCGATCTCTAACGGACCTCCAGTACATTCAAGGTAATATACTTCTTAGAGGGTACCAGTGTGTGAAATTTGGTCTTTAAAGGAAACGGGTCACAAGAAACTGAATTGATAATAGCAATTGATCATGTGACTTCAAAATTTACAGTGGTATTAACTATTAAAACACTTCTGAGGGCTAAAAAAGTCTACCAAGTTTGTGTCTATCAAGCAAAGGGTTTCCAAGATATGGAGTGTGGTCAATATCTTTCTATGATCCGTTTGACACTTGACCATTGACCTTCTGACTCCTAAGCAAAAGGAATAATCTACTCCTCAAAGAATATTAATTCTTTGAAAATCTTCTCTGCTCTCGGGCATCTAGGAGAAGGCTTACAGTACAAAGTTGTAATAAGCAAGTGTTTTCACCAGATTTGTGAAATTCTTGACCACTGGGCACTGGGTCATCTCGTGCTTGATAAGGCACTATTGATATTGCAGAGAAATTTGTAGTACTTTACTGATAGAAGTTATTCCCCTTCGCTATTTACAATGTACTTACTATTTACAAGATAATTTATTACTGTAAATCATGTAATTGATAAGTCAAAATGAATAAAGACTTAAAGGAGAATTTTTAATGTACATGTGTAATACATAAAGTACTTTCTTAGTTTTTAATGGTAAAGTAGACTTGTAAATAATAGATGTATAAAAATGAGACAAAAATACATCATCTATATACATTATATACTCTCTAAAGACCAAGAAAGGCCAATATGTGATGGAATGTTTAGGGTTTACTACATGTTCCAAAATTCAGAGGCAATGTATGGTGTGATATGTAAGATTTGACAACTTAACTTACCCTTTGAATGTCATCTGGATTTTTTTGATAAAGAATTTTTACCTGTTTTGTGGTTGTGAAATATGGGGCTCTGAAAGTGAACGAGTACTGTACAATTACGCTTTCTTAAACATCTTGAATTTGATAAGCAGTACCCCAAGTTGTATGGTTTATGGTGAAACCGGGCGGTTTCCTAGATGCATTAATATATGCTCTTAAGTTATAAAATACTAGGCAAAACTTGTATGGAAAAGAAAATAAATTGTGTAGGATTGTTTATTTGTATCTGCGTAAACAGTTTGATAAAGCCTGGGTTTTCTTTGTTCAATGTATTTTTGACAACTGTGGTTTATCAAATGTACGGTGTGAGCAAACTTTTTATGATGGAAAATGGATAACTGCAACAGTCAAACAAAGGTTAGAAGATCAATATATTCAAAAATGAATTAGTAAGGTTCGGCAATTTATTAAAACAGTTAACTAATTATGAGTGTGAAAAATATTCATCTCTGTTATCATTTAAACTTAAGAAAAGTCTTGTAAAATTTAGAACAACAAATCACCATCAACAACAGGCAGATGAAATAGTACACAAAGAAATGAACGACTTTGTAATTTGTGCGACAGTAAAAAGATAAAAGATGAATGCCACTACATTTATAATGTAATACTTTAGGATATTTGAAGAAAAAATTCTTGAGCCAGAAATTTTGTTGTAAGCTAAATATTATAAAGTTTTGTGAAATTATGTGCTCAAAAGATTTTGAAATTTAAAAAAAAAAAGCTGTGTACACTTATTACTAGAATTAATTGCTTGGTCTCTTCTCCCTCTAGCTAGACTTGACTCACATTTCTTGCTTGACCCATTGCATTATATGTACAAACGTTTTCGTACCTCATGTACTATTTACAAGTTTTGAGAGAATAAACTGAACTGTTCTCAAGTCGACAAAAATCTTTTATACTAATAACTGTAATATTCAATAAAAGGCTTGATTCAGATGGTATTCTGCATCAAATTCTCACAAGTGCAAATGATAAAAAAATCTTTGTACTGTCCTCTGATTGTTGTTTTTGTTTTGGAGGTCGCCACAAAAGACAAGTTTCTCCTTCATCAGTGGTCAGTTTACCAGGAGACATAAAGATCATCCGAAGAAGCAATGTACCGAATCATGGTGTATGTGCAAAGTTATGCACGGAAGAAAAATTGATTAAATGTCAATATTTTAAATATCAGGAGGAAAAGAAAATGTGTTTTCTATCTGATCGAGACCAACCGAATATTGCCGTAGATGTTACTCCACAAAATACAACAACCTCCACCACTACAGGACCTAATGTCGAGGAACAACAGAAACATAAATTAACTGAAATTGCTGAACTTTTGTTCAAAATAAAGAACGCCTCTCAAAAGCCAACACCAAAAGTTGCTGGTGCAGAACAAGTTTCGACAAAAAAATTAACCAAACATAGCGATAAAGGTAATTTTATAAAAATAGAAATGAAAAAGACCCTATTCTGAATTAAGGTACATACATGTTCATGTACAACAGATAAATATTGGTTCATTATACTTGTATATCTCATCATTTCGTTTAAATAGGCCAGAAAAAAGCGAAATATACGAAGGGAAACATAGCGAATCTAAAGAAAAATCTAGAAAACACTCAGGTGAGGTATTCCCTGTACATTTTGTATGTTGCCTTTTTTTTCAAAGTACAAACCTAAGAAGGATTTTTTAAAAACGTTTGTTGATAGATAATTTCAAATTATTTGTGTGATATAATTTTGATTTTCATTCATTCCAGAGTTTACGCGACAAAATCCATCTCATTAGTAAAAGTGTGCTGGGAAACTTTACAAAGATAAAGGAAATGCAAATACGATCATTACTGCATTTTAACAAAAGAATGCGTAATATTCACGAAGAATTGCTTCAGACTACTAAAGAAATAGACAAAATAAAAAAGTCGATGGATGAATTGAAACAAAAGAGTTCTGATAAAAATGTTCAGGAAAGCATAGCATTTTTACAGAAAAGTCGGGAGAAGTTTGATACCACTCTGAAAAAATTAGAGGAAAGGAGCGCTAAACTTCACAGCGACCTGGCATTGTTTCATCGGTTAACAACAATAATTGCCAAAAAGGTGGATGCCCTGAAAGATAAGGTGTTCATGATCGTGCCTGCTTTAAAAAATTCTGTAATTTATTTAAAACAACCATAAATGAGTTGTGATATGTAAGTAGCCTTATTTGTATTAAGATAACATAGATAGGGGTATTTCCGTTTAATTGAAAAATGAAAAGAAAATACAATGATTTATAGAGTATGATCTTATTTTCTTAGCCAAAGAATGATCCAAACATGCAAAGGTTTCAAGCAGTAGCTGTCAAGTCAATGGAAGAATTATCTCATCACGGGAAGAAAATTCAGAAGCGAATTAGAAATCTTGAACAAAACATTAAACTCGTAGCTCATGCCCTTGTCATGTCACAGACCGATGAATCAAAAAGTAAATCCATGATAGAAAACATCAACAAAGAACTGACAAACCTGAGAAAGGCAGTTCAGGACAGCTACATGTGGCACGTACGTAGATTCCTTCACATTGACAAACTGCATGTATTTTAGATTCAGAGGTAAACTACATATATTTCTGTTGTATGAATTGTAGACCAGCTTACTGTTTGTATAATATAATACTAATACATAAGAATAGAATTTTTGAAGTGTTGCTGAATCACCATTTCTGTCTGATATTCTGTGAATTTTATTTTCCTTGCATTCTTATATGGCTTTGAGTTTAAATAGGAATTAAATTGTACTTGGACTTTGTACTGTATCCAATTGACACATTCCCGTTTCAAGAGAATCATGTAGATAATTATTTCTTATTAAAGAATGTGAAACAACTAGGTGGCATTTATGCAAAAGAGGAAGCCCCCAGCGCTTTAAAGAAGATCAGTCATCTACTTAGAAATATTAATACATACATCGGACAACTCAATATAGTCAGTGTTCAAAGATTACAGAGGATGAACAGAAAAATGAATAAATTTCTTTCAAAGGTAATTCTCAGAACTGTAGCATTTCTAAATACAAGTATTCTAATGAGAAAAAAAAAACCAACTTTTAAATGTCAGACAATATTCATTATATTTTTCCACAGACCTTAAAAGCAATCTCAAAAATGGAGAAGAGAAGAAAAAAAGTAGTGCGAAAACGAATAGGAAAAATGAAACAAGTTTTGATAGATTCCCTGAAAGCTTTGGCACAATGGACTCAACATGAAGAAAAGGAAGTGAAAAGTTTGAACAAGAAAATGGACGACCTGGCACTAAAAGTATATACATACAAATATTTAAAGAAAGCCCACTTCAACATAGAAACGAGCTAAATACACGAAAATATTATTTGTAATTAAATGCTCAAGCTTCATATGTATTTTAGACTTCGAGATTTGCAGGCGGAAGAAAGGTTGCAGAGAAAAATAACCAACAACTGAAAATAAAGCTGAATAAAATAAAGAAAACAGAGAGAAAAATGATAAAATCATTGGCGAATTTAGAAAAGTCAACCAAGGAAAATTCTGCAAAATTACAGGAAAATTTAAAGCATGCAATGAAGAAGGTAATTTTATATTTTGCATTAAAATCTCTGTCAGTTTAAAAACGGTGAAGTAACGATATATGTTTTTTCAAAAGTATCTTACATTTGATTCGTTACACAAGTGCATGCCCCACGTATGAACAATTTCTAAAACGAGGCAAGCTATTGACAAACAAGTTAATGAAACAAGGATATCAACAGTCTCGTTTAAAGTCACCATTTCACAAGTTCTTTGGTCAATACAATGATCAGCAAATGCCATCTATCATTAAGTCGAATGCTGACTGATGTTTGTCATACTAATTGTTAGGCCATTATTTAAACACTGAATTGTCTACGGATTTTTCCGTTTGTCCGATCATGACAATGAACACAAGGCGGGTGTGACCGGTCAACAGGGGAAGCTTACTCCTTCATGGCACCTGATCCCACCCCTGATGTTTTTAGAGGTCCGTGTGTGCTCCCGATTTGTATTGTTTCAATGGATTGTTGAGCTTGATTACTTTAGGATTAAACGTTCTTTTTGAAAATTTTATCGATGTGTAAACTCTTGACATTTTACTCACAAACTAAATAAAAGTGCGAAGCATGAACAGAATATAGGATATAGACATATGAATTTGATGCTAATAAGGTAAAAGTCTACGTTTCTCTTTCCTATCGAGAACTGAGCTTATTTGCTTAGTATTGGGAACGACGATAAAATGACATCATGCATCAGAAATTTTTAAATTCACACTTGTGATCTGAGAGTGACATAAACATAATATTCCTGTCTGTCAGTCCTGCAAGTCGTCAGTTTTTATTTATTATTCATTTTTATTTGATTTCAAGTTTCTGCAATCGTTTAGCTAAAACAGACGAGAAGTAACGAGTTGTTTCAATTTTTTACAAAGCTAGGTCAAGAAAGTAGTTCTAATTGAGAGATTTATCGATGTGTAAACTTTTTCTTGAATTTGTTCTCGTCCAATCAAAACACGGGAAATCAATAAATAAAATTTAGGTTGGAATTACTGTAAGTTATCTCCACATTTCATGTATAATATTTTCATCACAATCATAAAATAAACATGATTTTTTTTAATATAATTTTATGTTTCTCTGTCTCTATTTCTCTCTCTCTCTCTCTATGAAAATTTGATGTTCTGACAATTGAAATTTTAATAAAATGATATTTGATCAACAAGTGCCAGAAGTGTTTATTTGAAATCATAACTTTTCCCCCCTTTATTCTAAGCAGACATTGAGCACGCAGGATAAAAAGATGAAGGAAATAAATGAAAAAAAGTTACAAACTGCCTTGACTGCCACTCGGAAAGTAAACAGGAGAATGGAAATATTGAGACAAAAGGAAGACAAAAAGTTGAAAGAAGCAAAAGCAAAAATGGACAAAAAAGTGAAAGTGGTATGAAAATAAAGGAAAAAGTCACCTTATAATGTAATTTATGGGGTGTTTTTTGAAAAATTATTCAGTTGAAATGTCCCCATTGATAAAATTATGAAATTGTGGTAGATACTTTAGAAATAATATTTGTACAAAACCATATTTATATGCATGAATACCTCATTCTGACGATAAAATAAAAATAAAAAAAAAACACTTGTGTCAAAGGACATTGTTTATCAATATTAGAAACAGCAGTTTATGTATCTTTAAAGGAAGCAAAATAACATACTCATAACAAATGTAAAATAATCTGTCTTCTACAACATATTCACTATAAAAATTTTAATACCATTAACGGAAAACTACTGGATTGAAACTTCTAACTACTGCATGGAAATTTCAAGTATGTTAAGCATATTGCAGAAATTAACAATAAATAACTGGATAAATTATTAAACAGTAACTTGAGTGTGCGCAAATAGATTTCTTGAATTCAAATGTACAAATGTTATGTGACCACTGGAAATATTGAGAATATAGAACATCTCATATACTTGTAAAGACTCATTTTTTTTTACATGACTTAAGCTCAGTTGTAGGTTTCAAAATCAGTTGGAAACATAAAAATTCGGATTTTTTTAATAGCATGAAAAAAATAATCTCCTTGACTTTTTACAAACACAAGATGAAGTGTAGACTAGCAAAGTTATCTTGTACTAGGGATTGTTTGTACAATTATTTCACTCGTTATTAAATACAAATCAATACATGTATATTGCAGAATGGTGACATAAATAAGTACTAATTCATAAAGTGTTCAAAAAGTTTGTATAGATTTGTAAGTTACAGTGTGTATGTTGCCAACACTTGTGGACTGGGTGGGTTAGTATGGGAGCAATATGATCTCGAGTAAGGTGAAGAATGGTGGCCTACCATGCTAGCATAGAAATATATTGTACACTGTAAACGTTTCCATGGTATATCTTAATTTTGTTATGAATGTTGATGTAAAAATATATACCCTATATATACCCTATATTGTTATATTAAGCTAGAAAAAAATATTTCAACAGGCATGTATTTTTTCCTGTGTTCTTTTGTATTAAGCATAAATAATTTATAATTATTATTACATTTCATAGAATATCTTAAATCAATATTTGCACTTCATTTCTTTGATTTAATGTTAAGTTTGTCTATATGTTAAAGATATATTAATTTGTAATTAATAAAAGAGAAACAAACATAAAACTGTTGTTATACTGTGAAAATGATACAGATCTCAAGCAAGATCCTTTTGTCTAGGCAATGAAGAAAATGTATGATAAAGTTGTCCATGACAAGAGGTTAACAGGCAGAAAGAAGGAGCTACAGAAACAGAAAACACGGATTCAAAATGCCTTGGAACAACTGAAGACCATTGGAATATCACATTTTTCAAAGTTAAACAAAAAAGTTCAATCCATTATAAATGAGGTCTGTAATGTTACTCTAAATACCACCAACAATAAATACACTTGTATATTGATTGAAATTTACCGACAGAATTTGATTTTAAAAATGGTATTTTGTGTTTTGTGCTAGAAAAATGGAAACGTTGATGAAAAAATGGTCAGAAAAATGCGCAGAATTAAAGAAGCAGTTAGAAAAACTTTAAACTCTGTAATAACTAGAAAAGACAAAGATCGCAAACAGCTGTCAGCAATCCGGAGAAAATTTGGTGAATTCTTAGAGAAGGCAAGATTTACTTTTATAATTATATTTATATATAGATATTTTCTTCAGTGATGTTTCTCAAAGTTTCAAACGTACAGAGATATGTCACTTCTTACGAAACAAGTTACAATGCTAAAAAGATCGCCAAATAAATGTTTTTTTTAAACTTCTTATCGTCTTTAAAACTTTTAAATCTTTTTTTTACCTCTCTATATGCAGTATGTATTCCTTTTATCATTTTTTGCGAATGCAAATTTATTCTTGATCAAAGTTTTGTAATTGTCAAAAATTGGAAAGTATTTGTTTGTTTAAGGTGAAGGATATAGAGAAGAAAAGGCAGAAGGAGACTACACGAATTGCAAAGACAGGAGAAAAGAAGGTATTTATATATCTGAATAGTAAATAACATTGCTATAAATATATAGTATCTTTTGTTGTGGAGAAAATATTTCCAGATATTTTTTCCTGTAACATTTGTGTAAATTCTGTCCATTAATATCAAGAGAAACCGAAAGATGAACACAATATTGAAAGCAGCTGTAAAGAAAGTGCAGAAAATGCAACGAAAGTTGGCAAAACAGAACAAGAAGGAAATAAACAAGATCAAAAAGGAGGTATGCAGAGAATCATCAGGTTAACTCGATTACAGGGATACTTGAAGCTTAAGAACATTTAAATTTAGTATCAAGATGGATTAATTCATTTTCCTTTTACTCAAACATGTATTACAGACTATGAAAAAACAGTTTTTAGAGGTTTCTCCACACCAAAGGATTGCAGATGCAAGAAAAGAATTGCAACAGCAAAAGAAAAAGATACAAAAAGCTTTAGCAAAACTTGAGACAATTGGCAAAGCACAATTGTTAACGTTAAATAACACAGTTGAAACTATTATGAATGAGGTAAGAGACAATTTCATTTAAAAATGTAGCCAATTTCTCTACGGTTATGTTCTTTGACTAGAGAAATATATATTAGTTAAGAATATGAAAATTGATGTTTTTTCTCATTTGTATTAGAAAGGTGGACATGTTGATGCCAATTTAAAAAGAAAAATGTCCAGAATCAAAGAAGCAGTAAGAAAAACGTTGGATTCTATAGAAACCACAAAAAACAAAGACCACAAAGAGATGGCTAACATAAGGAAAAAATTTGGTGAATTTCTGAATGAGGTTAGAAAAGTATACATTATCCCAATAAATATCATTTTTATCCGTTTTGGACAATAACAAATAACAGCATATTAGTATATTTAATGCAGAAACCTTTATGAATGTTTAGTTTTTCGGTTTTGTTTATACATAGTTGTTGAATATTTTACGCTTGATTTATATCAACTTCTCATTCATTACTTTTTAAAGGAAGTTTCAGAAAAATGACTAATATATTTTAGGTGAAGGACATTGAAAAGAAAAGACAGAATGAAAACATAAATATCGTGAGGATGGGAGAAAAGAAGGTTTTGAATATGTTGAATACGCACTAATCGAAAAGTGTACTGTATTTCAAAATTTAGATAGAAAAATGTCTAGTTATATAACTTTGTTTTAAATATTTAGAGACTTCAGAAAGTTAATAAAGTATTGGCAGCAACTGCTAAGAAAGTAGAAAAAATGCAACAGAAGATTGCAGAAAGGGATCAAAAGCAACTGGACAATCTGAAAAAAGAGGTAGTTATGAATCGTATACACATAATCCATTTTTATTTGAGCTACAAAAGTCTATGTAGATGAAAAGGTGAAGATAACGAACAGTGATCGATTCCAGAGGTGGAATCAGGTGCTTAGGAGGAGAAAGCATCCACCGCCGTGAGCCCTATGAATTGATCAGGTAGACAGAATATTCTGTAGTCAAATTTAGTATAAACACAAAGGCTAACAATTTGAATGAAATATATCAGTCAAAAAAGACCCAATGATAGGTTGTATATGCTAACGATTAAGGTCATTATAACGTCCATAGAATTAGGGCATGTATCTTAAAAGCGTCAATAATAAATGTACGTCAACAACACGTATACGTATTCTTCAGTACAGACACACACTGAGTCAAAAACAGCTCAATCATTTTATGGAAAACAACCGAGAAGCACAATCTCACAGTGTGAAGAAAACATCAAATTCCTCATTAGGAAACACTTGATTGTGACTCATTATTGTTAAATATTTGTTGCCAAAACATTTTGGTGAATGAAGGTATAAATCAGAAGCATCATTTAGGTATTAGAATTTGAATCGTGAAACGTATATATTTTATCATCAATTCCTTATAAAGATTTTTTTCTGCATATATGTATCATGCTTAGAAAAACTAAAATCAAATTTTTATTATCTTGCCTTGATTGTAGTTAAATAGGACTATTTTCAAAATAGTAACATTTTTTCATGGATATACACACAGTTACTTATTAAAACTACCTACTAGTAATTGAAATTTAAAAATATGAAATGTGAAATGTTTTACCTTTCATATATAAAAAAAATGTTAGCCGTCCTTTATTAAAAAAAGAATTTTAAAAAAAATAGAGTATCCCTTTTTAGGTCACCTGAGTCACTCAGGTGACCTATTGCTATCTGTTCTCGTCCGTCAGCGTGCGTCGTGTGTTAACATTTGAACATTTTTAGCTTCTTCTCTGAAACCGCTAAACCAATTTCAACCAAATTTGGCATATAGCATATATGGGTGAAGGTGAACAAAACTTGTGAATTTCGTGGTCCCTGCCCCCCTGGGGCCTGAGGGGTGAGGCTAAAATCACTGAAAATAATGCAATCTTTAAAAATCTTCTTCTTTACTCCTGGACATCAAGCAGTCAAACTGTTGGCATCATTGTAATCTACCCTCTACCAAAATTGTGAAATTCATGGCCCCAGGGTCAGGGGTTCTGGTGCTAGGGCGGGGCTATATAGATCATATAGTGAAAGTGCATTATTTCTTTGAAAATCTTCTTCTCTGCTCCTGGGTATTAAATAAAGTAACTAAGTACATAGTTATGATGAGCAAGAGTTCCTCTTCTAAAATTGTGAATTTCATGGCCCCTGGATCAGGGGTTCTGGTGTTAGGGCGGGGCTCTATTAATTATTTAGGCAAAAGGCATGAATTCTTTGAAAATCTTCTTCTCTGCTCCTGGGTATTAAATAAAGTAACTAAGTACATAGTTATGATGAGCAAGAGCGCCTCTCCCAAAATTGTGAATTTCATGGCTCCAGGGTCAGGGGTTCTGGTGTTAGGGCGGGGCTCTATTGATTATATAGTGAAAATGCATTAATTCTTTGAAAATCTTCTTCTCTGCTCCTGGGTATTAAATAAAGTAACTAAGTACATAGTTATGATGAGCAAGAGTTCCTCTTCCAAAATTGTGAATTTCATGGTCCCTGGATCAGGGGTTCGGGAGGGGAGGGGGAGCTCTATTGATTACATGTATATAGTGAAAATGCATAATTTCTTTCAATTTTTTTTTCTACTACTGGTTATAAACTAAAGAAACAAGTGTATAATTTTGATGAGAAAGGGTGCTTCTTCCAGAATTGATAGTTCGTGGCCAATGGATCAGATGTTCTGGTGTAAGGATGGGGCTTTATTTATTTATTATAATATGGTGAAAATGCATTTCTTTGACAATCTTCTATGCTTCTGGGAATGTTCAAGGCAAACAGAGTAAAAGTTTTAATATGCAAGGGTATTTTTACCAGAATTTTGGACACCTGGACCATTTAGTCAAGTGTTATGGTCCTGGCCAGGGCTCTATTAACTTGTATTCTACTGAGCAAAGTTATTCCCCTTTGCCATTCACCTTTGATAATTAATCACTGTAAATAATGTATTTGAAAGCTTAATAAAATAGAAAAGAAAAAGAAAATTTATTGCATAATAAAAAAAAAAGTACTTTCATAGTTTTAATGACTTGGAAGTAATAGATGAATAAAAATGAGACAAAAATAACTTTTTTTTCTTTTTAAATGTTCTTCAAAGGCCAAGAGAGGCCACTGTGAGAAGTAATAATATGGGGTTAAATAATACACATTTTAAATGTTCTTCAAAGGGCAAGAGAGGCCATTGTGAGAAGTAATAATATGGGGTTAAATAATAGACATTTTGTTAATAGTCTACATGGGAATAGTGATAAAGGGGGGGGGGGGGCAGATAGATACTAGACCAATTATTTTGTTGATGCTAATCATACTATTTTTCTTGCTGTTGGGCAACAAAGCTTCATTTATCAGTTTATGGATCCTCTAAATTGTTGTATTGTACTCAGGTGACCGTTAAGGCCCTTAGGCCTCTTGTTATTGAAAAGGGAACATATCAAAAACAAAAAATGTCAAAAAACTACAAATTAAAATTTTTTTTTTAAAAAGTTTATCAAAAGACCAACGTTTGTAATATGCAGGTACCATATATTTCTTCTCGGTGACATTTGAATGATTCTTAGATAGATAATAAACTCAAGCTACTGTGTGTCTGTGTAAGTTGTCAACAATTATTAAGCTTAACAGACATTTTCAAGGGGAAAATACAAAGGCGTTTCCTTTTTCGCTGCAGTCGTTTTCAAACTCGGAAGTTAAAATAACATTGTACTGTATTGTATATAATACGATTACATAAAACTGATAAATCTCTATATAGGAATTGGCATAAAAAATGTTAAATAGTTGTTTATATTTATTTATCCTATATCCAATATCATTACATTTTCAACAGTGAAATACTGTAATTTATTTACTGAATAAAAGTGATATTCTGACACAGTGTGAAAGGATATCAAAATGGTATTGTCACAGTGGGAGAATATCAGAAGTGCGGCAAAACTTACGATTTTCCTTCCCTTCAGGAGGAGTGTTTTTTTAAACAAATCCCCAGCCTGTTATAAGATAGAGTTAATGAGCCATCCTGACAGAGACTAATAGTTAACTACCAAAGTTTTTCCAAATGTGTCCTTAAAAATCCACGTTTACAACGTTTTTCAATCTCGCAATCACTTAGCTAGGACGTCTCAACTGCTCAACTGTGACGTCACAGCTTCTGACACTGTGTTACGAAAAGACAGAGGCAAAGAGAAATCTAAGAAAATGTAATAAACAGAAAATTAAATTTTTTGTAGATGAATATGGAATTTATTTCACTCGTGAGACAGGATTTTTTGATATTTTCACTCGTGCTTCGCACTCGTGAAATTATAAAAAAAAATCATGTCCCACTCGTGATATAAATTCCATATTTATCTACAAAACATTGAATATCCTCTATTAATTCTATCTTTTATCGCCGATATCCATATGTATGACTTAATTTAGTTAACAATTCACTGAAAATTAAAGTATAAAAAAAACTAGAAAAAAGGCATCATGCTTTTTCCATTTTGAAATTTTAGTCAAAGAAGATCAAAGACAAGACAGTTAAAGCCATCACTTTTCAACAGATGAGAGAAAAAGCGGTAAGCATTATGTTGTAAGGTGTTTCCACCTTCACTCTTTTTATGGTTGAAAGTAGAAAAAATGATTTCCATTCAACATATTATATATTATAATCAAGAATGAAATAAAATGTTTAGATTGTCGCATTCTTTTGAAGAAGGCAGACAAACAAACACAAGTGAATGACAAAAACAATTTTAGTCAACAGTATTATTAAAAATGCAGAAAAACTCGTTCTCATGACGCACATTTTATATGATTTTTACTTTGTATGAATTGAGGATATATATAATACAGGTATGCTAGAGAGAAGACATAAATGAAAAAAAATATTGTTTATGAAGAAATTAAAGATAATTCTAATTCTGTAATAAGCCATCTTTTTATTCGTACAATGGATACATTTCTATCAGGCATGAAAATTAATTAAATCAATGAAAGATTTTGTGAAAAATACGTCATCATAAGAGGACCAAGCAACCTTATTATATCATAATAAAAGCTTTGTTATTAATCTAAATTCTCAAGAAAATGACAAGCTTTGTATTTATTTATTAAAGAGAATATTTTAATTGCACGGAATCGTTAATTGTCGTTGTCATGACGTGATATAAAATCACATTATTTTTTCTATTGGATTTAAATAAGAAAAACAAGGCATTGAAGGAAAGAAGTAAGCAACTAGAGAAGCAACTTAAAATTCTGGGAAAAAAGATAGAACAGAGAAATAAAGTTTCACAACAAAAAGAAAAGGAAGCAAACAAAAAGGTAAAACATCTTTCTCAGTATATCTTTTTTTTTTATTATACACTATTATTATAAACATAATTACTTTCCTTATTAAAATAAATGATAAATCAAATAATTACCTTACTTTAAATATAACATTTAATCAATATTTTTTCCTCTGAAATTCACCTTAAGCTTGATTAATTATTCAAAATCAGCCTCATCAACACAATTACTGTTGATCACTTTTTAGTGCAAATTAGTTTTATTTTATTTGTTGAAAAATATCTTTTCTACAATGTGTCAAGTTTCCATTGGTATTACTGGTTTGAACATTATAGTTGCAGAAAACAAAAGAACAGCTCTCAAAAATTTCAGCACAAAAATCTCAGTCAGTTAAGGTACGAGTCCAATGCACTGCAGACTAAGTTAACTTTATCATTTATATTACTAGTATGTCATTTTTTTAAATATACTATTTGTGTGACATTTACTGTAGGAAAATCAAAGGAAGATAAAGGAGGAAGCAAGACTGAAAACAAAAATAGACAAATTGAAAAGGAAGACAAAGAAAATCGCAGAAGAATCGCAAAAGAGAAATGAACTACTTAACAGAAAGGTATTCTCAGAAAAACACCGTAAAAATTTCAGTGTGAAATGAGGGCTTAAAATTAGTATGAAAAACTTCAGTCAGCATTTGGCCTAATGATAGATTGTATTTGCTGATAAGGTCAATCATTTTCGTCTTTATCCTGATATTGTAGTTGCTCTAGATGATATACAAAATAATAAAAATACTTTTATAACGCGTATTGAAAATGTTTAATAAATCTATAATAAAAATAAAGATAACGAACAGTTTTTAAGCTCATAGTCCATTTAAACAAAACAAATCGGGAGCAGAGCAAACACGGACCTCTAAAAACATTAGAGGCGGGATCAGGTGCCATGGAGGAGCGAGCATCGCTTGTCGGCCGATCACACCCGCCGTGTGCTCCTTGTCATGATCGAGAAAACAAAAAAATCCATAGACATTTCAATGTGTAAATAAAGGCCTAACAATTAGCATGGAAAACATCAGTCAGCATCTAACTTAATGTTAGGTTATATTGGCTGACAAGGTCATTGTGTCGACCATAAAACTTGTGAAATTATGACTTCAAACGAGACTGTTAATATCCCTGTTTCATCAACTTGTTTGTCAATAGCTGGCCTCGTTTTAGAAATGTTCATACTAGAGCATGCTCTTGCGTATCGAATCAACTGGGAGACAAAACACCATTTATGCAGGTGATAAGGGTATATTGCTACATAAGTAAGGAACGTTGACGATTGAAAAATTGAAGTCATCACGTTTATATGGTATTTTGCTTTTATATGTGTTTGTTTTTAAGGTATAAATCAGTTTTGCTTGGCCCATGGTCATCTTTGCGCAAATTTAAGTTTTGCACCTTCTTTTGAATAGGTGTTAACTTTTATTTTTATACAGATTTTTCGTTTGCCAGCTGATTGGACTTTTCGACATAGTAATGCATTTGTTCTTTGAAATTGTTACTGATTTAAATCCACTTAAAAGCAAATTTGGTAAGAAATGTCTTTGAATAAAACATACCAAAATGCCATAAAAATTCATGAGAGTATATTGAGTGAATGTTTCATTTCCACACCTTCAAATACTTCAAACAAAACGTTTGAAATTTAGAATTATACAAAAAATTTTAATGTATAATATAAAAAAGTACTTTCACAATCTCAAATGGTCAGATAGGCTTGTAAAACAAATTTTGAAAAAAAAATTAAAAATACCTTTATATCTTTGTTCACTGAGTGTTCTTCAGAGACCATGAAAGGCCAATACGAGAGGAAATGTGATGGGTTTACTTTATAAGCTTGAGCACAATTGTTTTGTTTAGTCTGCATGGTGATAGTAATAAATGGGAGACGAGTGTATTAGCACTGACAAATATTATGATTTGCTAATGAGTACTACACTAACTTTTTTTCATCCCTGATTATCCTATTTCTTCTGCTTTTGGGTAACATATCTTCAACTCTCAGTTTATTTTTTATTTCATTTTATACTTCTATGGATCCTTTACAGTGTTATACTCAGGTGACCCTTAAGGCCACTGAACCTCTTGTAAAGCCTTGGGGAATGAAAATTACTTCGAAGGAAGCGTCCATTCATTATAAGTGTGTTCGCTATAGGCGTGTTTTACTGTATCTATCACTAAGCATTTTCTTCAGAACTCTGTCACTTTCAGTCATTCGATATTAAATATGAAATCTAAGTATATTAAAAATTGGTTTATTGCTTGTTATCTTAATTAATGTACATGCAAAACTTTTCTTCTGAAGGTTCCGATAATTATGTTCACCATTCATTTACCATATATTTATGTCTCCCCTTCCAGGGAAGACATGTTTTTGTCGATTTTTTTCTTCTTTTTCTTCTTCTTCATCCAAATTTTGTCTAGGCCGTAACTTAAATACCCTTTGACATTAAGACTTCAAACTTGGAACATAGATAGATGACATTGAGAAGGAGTGCACGCCACCAACATTTTTGACCTTGACCTATTTATAAGGTCAAGGTCAATCTTTTGAGTTCAGCCCATAACTTGAGATCCCTTTGATATTAGGACTTCAAACTTGTAACATAGGAAGAAGACCTTGAGACAAAATGCACTGCATTAGAATTTTGACCTTGACCCCTTTCTGCCTTCAAGGTCAAATAGGGAAAAAACACGATCTGACCATAACTTGAGAACCTTTTGACATTAAGACTTCAAACTTGGAACATGCAGAGGTGATATAAAGGAGGGATGCATGCCACCAAAATTGTTGATTCAATTATTATAAGGTCAGGGTCAATCTTTTAAATCAAAATAGAGTCCAAGCCATAGCTTGAGTACCCTTTGATATTAGGACTTCAAACTTGTAACAGAGAAAGAAGACATTGATACAAGATGCAACACACCAAAATTTTTTACCTTGACCTCTTTTCTTCCTCAAGGTCAAATAGGGAAAAAACTTGATTTGACCATTACTTAAGAATCCTTTGTTATAAAGACTTCAGACATGGGACATGCAGAAGTGGTATGAAGAAGAGATGCATGCTACCAAAATTTTTGACCTTGATCCAATTATTATAAGGTCAAGGTCAATCTTTTACATCAAAATAGAGTCCAGGCCTTAGCTTGAGTACCCTTTGATATTAGGACTTCAAACTTGTAACATAGAAAGAAGACATTGTTATAAGATGCAACGCTTCAAAATTTTGATCTTGACCCCTTTCTTCAAGGTCAAATAGAGAAAACATGACTAGATCATAACTTGAGAACCCTGACATTAAGACTTCAAACTTGGAACATGGAGAGGTGGTATAGAGGAAGGGTGAATGCCAACATTTTTTTCACCTTGACCTATTAATAAAGTCAAGGTCAATCGTTTACATGAAAATATAGTCTAGGTCATAACTTGAGAACTTTCTGACATTAGGATTTCAAACTTGGAACAAGGAAAGACAACATTGAGACTAAATGCACTGCATCAAAATATTTGACCTTGACCACTTTCTTCAAGGTCAAATTAAGAAAAACACGAGCAGACCATTACTTGAGATCCGTTTGACATGAAGACTTGAAATTTTGTACACAGAATTTGAGTTGAGATGCACTGCATTATTATTTTTGACCCTGATCATATATTTGCAATCGTTAATGTCGGTAAAGAAGGGGAGACATGGTTTTTTTAGTAAAAAAAAAACCAATACCCTTTAGTTTCAAATTTCACATTATCAAGATATGTCAAGGTCACGAAACATAGCATTTTAAGACAAAATATATATAAATCTTTTAGTCTTCTATATACACATCCAATAGTTTTGTATTTAATATAATGGTCAATTTTCAGATGAACAAAGTGAAAGATAAGCTTAAACTGATTTCTGACCTAAAAGGTGAATTAGCCAGGGTAAGGAATGTTTAATAAAGAACAAGGTTCACTTAGGACCTTTTTTGGCCCTGTGAATTTCTGAAAAACTGAAACTGCTTAGTTTTAGTTGACAATGCATTAAATTTCATTTAGACCTTTGGTGACTGCGTATCAATCAAAAATGACGTAATTTTCTGACTAGTCAATGCATTATGACGTCATGAAATGCGTCATTTTCCTCATATCCTGAAAAATTCTACAAAAACAACCAATTTTTAAAGCTATTTTTCGATATTTAAAAAAGAGCGCAACCTCTGATCTAAAATATGCAACTATTAAATGATGGAACTATTTCTGAGGATTACAAAACATGTTTTATTTTTTAGATCAGAGGGTGCGCTCATATTATTTCTCTTCTGTGAAAGTACTCAAATATACTTGTTTTCCTTAAAATTCAAGAACATTGCAATTCCATGAAGCCTGTTTTCCAAGACCTTGGCTTTAAGAAGAAAATTTTTAATAGGAAATGAAAGCACTAAGTCTCTACTTTATCTTGATGTTTAAAATGGAACATAAAGTGTTAGTCTATAAATTGGTATATCTACAGGGCCATTTTATGCATAAAGTGAACCTAGCTCTTTTGTAATTGTTTCATAACCATTAATGTTTTAAAATAATACTAGTATGTGTGAAGCAATTGTTAAGCGTTATAGAGCAATTAACTATATTTCTATCCAGTGCAAACGAATTCTTTTACGGTGGTGGTGGTGGTGGTGTAGGGATGGTTGGTTGGAATAAAGGAATAACGTTGTCCGTCGTTCTTTCCGTCTGCCTGCCCTTCTGTTCACGCAGTCTTTTCTGAACCGTAACGAAGATTCATTGAAAGTTCATACATGGCACAAAGATTGCTTTTGACCTGAGGATGTGTCAATATCTTGATATAGGATTATATTTAGTTTAGTAAAATGTAACTAGCAGATTAAAAGTATAAATTGTGTGCGGAGTATAACTAACGGATAAGAAAATTATTCTCCACACAAAGACTTCTTTAATGAAAGAATGTTTTTGACCTTGACTAAAGGTCATTTGTACAAAATCAATGTAAATGGCAGAATGTGTATAACTTTCTAATGGATAAGCATAAGACGTTTATGGGAAATGTATGAATCCTCTCCTGCTTATATCTTGTAATGAAATATCATGAGAAGCTCGTACTTGACACAATGATTGCTTGTGACCTAAAGTTTTATCCCGACTTTGTCTTTTACGAAAGCGAAAAAGCAGTAATATTTTCGACTGTCCATAACTTTGTAAGAGAGAAACTGGGATGCAAAATTTTAAAAGTGCAGAGAGGGGGGGGGGGGATTATTTAATGAACTCACTCTAAGTACTTCTGTTATTTATTTATCTTAAAGGCGATGACTTTTTATTTCAATTATGACACATGTATTGGTTTGTAGCAAATTTGATTTATTATATAATATGATTAAAACCATTAAGTATAAAAACTGAAATAAAGTATAAAAAGCATACATAAAAGTTATAAAAATAGTACTATTAAGCTATATTTTTTAACATCACAAAAAAATTGATAGAGAGAAGAAACAATAAAACGAAAAGAAAAAAAAATAAAGAAAAAGATTGTGGAGCTAACCCAGACTGCTACGAGCCTTACGCAGGTAATATTGAATATCAATCACAGAGCCGTATATTAAGAATTAAGCTGTAATATTAACCTAATTACAGCCAAAGTAGTTGATATACTTACATTGTATTTAGAGTTCTTATTCATTTTTTTAAAAAGGGAAAAGAGGCAGTAAGATGGAAGAAGAAGAAACATGAAAAAATGGTATTCTTTTTTCCGATAGTGAGAAAGGAGATATAACCAATAGAATTTATTTAAGAATATCAATGCACATAATTATTTTTATTCAAAATAAATCTTCTGTGAGAATTTATTCAATTTTCCAGAAAATTCTTCCAGACTATGGAAAACACAGGAAACTTCCTGAAGGAACAGTAAAAGTGCCAGTTAAAAAAGTATCACATACTATATCATATAAAAAAGTACAACATTACCATGTCAATAAAACCCGTTTATAATTGTAGAAAATTATTCCAGACCACGGGAAAGGAAGAAAACTTCCATCAAGTACTATAACTATGCCACTTCATAAGGTAAAAGAGTTATAATTCAGATCCATAGCTTTATCAATGTAAACATATATGTGATTACATGAAGATTTTTATGTTTACTAGCAATATTTAGTTTTGCTGAAACCACAAGTGATAAAAATTAAGATTAAGTATTTGATTTTTCAAAATAATTCTCTTTTTATGGTTTTTATCTGTCTTATCAAATCCTTTCACAATAATACCAACTTAATGACAAGTACCTCATACGCTACATGATGTTGCTTTTACTGAAAAAGTTTATTCAGTGGGACTTACCTTTAAACGCTATTCCTGCTGGAGTTTCATGTGTACTTTGAAGGAACCGAAGAATGCAAGTAGATACATAATTCTGGTACAAAATTCTGTTACCAAGTCTTATGGTAACATCAGACTTTAAATTTACTAACTCTAAAAAGCTTCTGTCCCTTGTCTCGTTTAGATATAAAGGAAATTGTATACTTCATATAGAAAGTACAAAAGGGAAGCGTAATACATCAATGCAGCTTCTTCTTTTATATATATATATATATATATATATATATATATATATATATATATATATATATATATATATATATATATATATATATATATATATATATATATATATATATATTATTGTGGGTCTAAACCAATAAATATATACTGACCATTAGTTAAGGATTTTGTCCTTTTATTTTTTCTTTATTTTAATATAGATTTCTGTTTAAGAGTAGTGAGCAAATTTAACATTATTCCTCAGAACTGTTCTATGAACATAATGCCAAAGATTTTATCACAAACTTTTGTTATAACCATGCAGGCACAGAGAGTAAAGGGAAAGAAATCTAAGATCGTAAGTTTATGACATTAAAAATAAATATTAATGTTCTGGTGGTTGTTTAGTCCTCTCAAGAATTTATTACCTCATTTTAATTAGCTCTTCAATATTCATCAGTGTAACAATTTACATTGATTATTTAATTAGGAAATACCTGTAAACTTGAAGAAAAAATATGTTTTGTTTGAAGTAGTCATTGAAGTTTTCATCTATTTTTTTTTATTTTTATTTATTTATTTTTGTTTATGAAAAGAAAGTGACCCCAGATCGTGGTAAAATCAAGAAACTTACAGCAGGAGCAGTGAAAGTCACTTTTCCAAAGGTATTATGCTTGACCATAGTCACCAACAGTAATCCTAAAAATAAATTCTAACAACATCAAATAATCTTCCAATGTGGGTCGATGCATAAAATACAAATAAAATATGAAATATTTAGTTCGTTCTTTTTATCCGATCACCTCTAAAATGTAAGAAGAACAGGAAATCGATATTAAATCCAATATTAAATGGAAAACTATAGCTTAAATGAAGCTCTGAATATTTCATGTTTAATTTCGTGTTAAGTTATCTACAAAATTGTTAAAATCATTCTGATTATATGCACAGGTTTTCTGAAGTTGATATTGAAAAAATACCGGAGTTCCTCATTGACAATATCTGGAGTCTTTTAACACCAGGTCTTCCAACGATTGATTGGAATTCCAATAGGAACAATTTATGCTTCTTTTGTTAGCCGACTGTTTTGTATTTAAATAAAGCAGAATTTATATATTTTTTTAAAAACTTCTAAATCGGAAAAAGAAGATTTTTACAGTGGCTTTCAATTCGACGTTCAGGTCTATCAATGGCATTTTATCACAACAATATTTATTTTCGTTCATGTGTTGATTCGATATATTTCAGTGAACTGGAAATCAAAGGACATCTCATATTCTGTATCTTTTACGGCAAACTAAAATCTAAACTATGTGACATGTGGGAAGATATCAGCTTTTCTATTGTCAGTTTCTCGTATTTATGTAGCAATATTCATTTATCACCGGAATTTGGTGCCCTTGTCTCACAGCTGATTCGGTATGCGAGAGCATATTCTGTGAACAACTAATTTTTTTAACTGACGCAGGTAACTGACAAATAAATTGATGATACAGTGGATTCGACAGTCTCATTTAGCGTCACAAATTTGATGTTCGATAAAATGACACTGTTTGTAATAAAACCATTTTTACTAACATAATTCATACCAAATTGTAGTCGCCCGCGTGGCGCAGTGGTTAGAGCATTCGCTCTAGAGTCGCGGAGTAAGGAGTTGATCTTTATGTCGTGGGTTCGAATCCCACTGAGGGATGTGGAGACCGGTTCTTCAGATGAGATCGTATAAACTGAGATCCCGTGTCGCAGTAGGTGCTGACACAAAAAAGATCCCTCACTGCTCAATGGCCCTGAATGCCGAGTATAGGTCAAAATATGCAGCTCTCCACTGGTAAGAGGTGGCGTCTCCATATGAGTGAAAAATTCTCGAGAAGGACGTTAAACAAAAAACAAACAAACATACCAAATTGTTAGGCTTTCGTTTTCAAACTGATTTTGTTTAGTAATCTGTTTACCTACATGCATTTAATACAGACGGACATCTTGATGGTCTGTTATATATGAAAAATTCTTTGATTTGCACAAGCATCTCTCTCATTCTCTCTCTTTCATTCTCTCTCTCTCTCAACTGTCACAGACTGGAAAAAATATTGCTTTGTTTAATGCTTTACCAGATTATTTTTGTTATAATAATAAAGAGTGCTGAAGAATACAGTAAAACACTGTAAGTAAGTAGATAAAATTATAATGAAATACAAGTTCGTAGCAGTATCTTCATAACATTTAAGAAAAATCCGAATGACTTATGTATATTTTATTTTAGAAATTAGTTGAAAAGCTGAAGATGATAAGTGACAAGTACAAAGATGTAAAAGAAAAGGCACTGAAAATGAAGGAAAAGGTATTGACGGAAGTTACATAATGAGTTTGTAAGTTGGTAATTAATAGATAAAATTTAATTCTCTGAGATTTCCTGAAAAGTGTATTTATTTTAATTTGTTCTTTGAAAAATGTTAGCTTAAGGAAAAACTACAGGAGAAGAAATATATCTCGTCCTTACCAACAAAAACGACTAAGGTAAGATATTCCTAGTTAAACAGTGTTAATATCCCGCTTAAATGATCAATACAACTGTATTTCTTGAAATACAATGTTTTCTAGATTATAGGTGTATTCTTATAGGAATACAATTTTTTTATTTATAGGAGAAGAAAACTGTAAAGAAGCTCAAGAAGAAGCTAGAAAGAAAAATAGAGAGAATTAGAAAGATCTGCAGAATAACTAGAAAGGAATTAAGAAGAATTCGAGAAAGGGTAAACTTTTATCTATGTTTTTTTTCAATTTAATATAAGATACGTTATGTGCTTAGTTGTTAGCTGAGTAGGAAATTGCTGGAGAAGTGTACAAGGCATTAGTACGTAAAACTGTGAGGTGAGATCATAGTTCGGCATTTTTATTGATAGATATGTTTTATGAATTGTATAAAAGAATGTTACACCCTTGTTGTCATTATTTGATTATCTGCATTTTTGTTTATTTTTCAATTTGGATTTGTAATTTGTAAGAGTTAATGGAGTGATGACTCAGCAACAAATTAAAAAAATTAAACGTTTATATTCAAAAAAATGTTTGCTAAAATATTAGCAGCTTTCTTATATACATAACTGTCCACATAAAAGATGAAAATCTTGACTTTTCCCCAAGAGAAACTTTCCATTAAAGTATATCGATCGACATTTCAAAATTCGATCTAATTCATCTAAATTCTACCATATAATATTTAGAGAGGTTGTTCAATTAAGAAATAAAAGTATGCCCAAATAAGAAAAAGAAGACATAATTTAATTTATACTTTTTTAAAAGCTTATAAGTCCACCAAGTATGAATACAGTTAAGATATATGACATAGTGTATTTCATTATTTACAGAGAAGGAAATGGGAACGAAAGATATACGAAGTGAGTAAGACTGTCAATTAAGAATTTGGCATAGATGCGTAATTTTGTCAACGATGGTGATTATCATAATAAGAGAGAAACTATTGCATTATTTGCAGTCAAAATTCATATTTTCCAATAGTTTGTCTGATTTAAATAAAACTTACTGGATAGTCTATTTATTAGAAAACTATCCCTGATTCAATTTTTTAATTCAAATAAAATTCATCATACAATCGTAAAATACATAAGGATATAAATTCACGTTGTTCAATTTTCAGTTTCATACGGAACCATTAATGGTGTTTCTAAAATTTAGAAGAATTTCTATTAAAAAAAAAATAATAATAATTTTTACATTTTCTACAGTTTTTGCCTGCTTTGATCAAACCTTATTGCAAGTAATGGCTACGTAAAGATACATACCTACTTTACATAACACTGTATCTGTTACTGAAATATGACACTGTAAACGTACTTTTTCCCACGGGGTCATAATTCCTCAGAATCGCAATTACTGTTCAATCTGCGGGTAGACAGTTATGCGGATTTCTTGGATTGCTGTTGTATGTCTTAAACATACTTTTCGTGGAAAATTTGTGATAGCGTTGGTAGTGTAAATTAAACCCACATCAATTCCACGTGGAAAAAATGTACGTTTACAGTAGTTAAAATTATCTTAATAATATTATGAAGTTACTAATTTTTGTGGGGGTTTAATTTTCGTTGTTTTTGTGGTATGAGGAGACCAACGAATTCATGTCCTCCACAAAAGTGAAATTTCAAATGTCTAACAGCTAAACTCTTCGTCAGTCACGAAATAAAATTCCCCACAAACCAAAATTTTTTCTCTAACCATGAATATTTGACTCCCACGAAAAAAAATGTGATTTTACAGTATGCTACTCCGACTCGAGATATTTGTCGACTTTAAAAGGAGCTTTGCAAATAGGTGGCATACTTCTTTATAAAAGATTCTGTTATCAGTTTTAATGGTAACGATAGGTTTTCTTACATATCTAGCTCTTCACACCTTTCAAATATCGTTTTGATTAAAAAAAAAGATTTCAAAAAGGATAATTTATTTTTCATCATATTTTTCATCATATCATTTTATCACTTAATCAAAGAACTACGAAAGTATTACATTAGTAAACATTTATCTCTTTATGCCCCAGTCATAAAATGACTAGGGCATATAGTGTTATCTCTTTCCGTCATTGAGTCAATCAGTTTTGGTCAGTTTTCCGGACATTTTTGTCTTTGAGATGATGATCTGATTTTTGTTATGTTTTTTATTATTGATGATTTACAGAACGATTTCGAGTTTCAAGTTGTTAATCCATTTTCAGGAATATTACCGATATATTGTCCTTCGAATTTGAAAATTTTTTAATTATTTACTGTTTCCCTGATTTTTTTTTTAGGTAACCTGAGCCACTCGGGTGACCTATTGCTAATTGTTTCTGCCCCCCCCCCCCCCTTTTTGGTGTGATTTTAGATACTTAATTGAATTTTAGTAAAAGATTTTATGTTGACGACTTACAGATAAAGTTTGAGTCAGATAATGAGATGATTTTTGATATGTCACTTTATATTTATGATTTGTTAGATTTTCATGTTGATTGACTCATGTTCTTGAAAGTTACTCCAGCGTGTCAAGGATCCGTGTTTTTGCTCTGATCATGATTCCTATTGTTTACAGGATCTTCGAGACTGACCACTGTTCCTTTCACTTTTTCATTATTATCTTTAGACTTTGAAAATTTATTCCCTTTTATCTTTTCTTGTAGGTGATACAGTGTGATACAATTTTAGAAGTATGTTGTGATATTGACAACTGATTCCGGGAGATGAAAATATATTCTACTTTTCATTTCTAGTCATTGTCATTTTCAAATTTTAGAACTTCTGAGATATTAAAACTTGGATATCGACAGGGGCAATCATATCACACTGGCACATTGAGTTTTTTTTTTTATTTTTCTTATTGAGTTTAAAAACTAGTTCTATGAATACAGTGTTGTGTTACTCAAAGCATTCATGTATCATTAGGTTCTCTTTTGATTTTTCATTTTAGACGAAGACAGTAAAGAGGAAAAAATCTCATATAGTAAGTTGCCATCACACAAATAAATATTAAATTCTGGAGTTGTCCGTAAATGATTAATGACATATGCTTAGTTAATCAATGTCAAAGAGAAATACTCATCATAGAACTGAAAGATGTGGTGAAAAATCTGCTCCTATTATTTTCTTATTTAGCTTTTGATATTTATCATTATAGCAACATATTTATAGATTATCAGTTTACTTGTTTAAAAATATTGGAGAAGAAAAGAAAAAAGACTTTTATTTTTTATATTTATTGCACTTCTCTTGTTTGAATTTTCAATTGTCCAAAGAAAGTGTTCCCAGATCATGGTAAAATCAGGAAACTTCCACCAGGTGCAGTGAAAGTCAATTTTCAAAAGGTATAACCTTAACTATAATTAATTGTCCTTCATTTTTCTTTTTCTTTATCGTTTATTCTTGCAGATAATTTGAAGGGAAAGATATTTTATGGACATTTTCTAAAATTCAATCTCATGAAAAGGCACCATAATACTGTGTTATATGATGTAAAATTCGCAAGACAGTACATGCATGTTTCTGTCTCTTATAATGATAGATTATACCATGGCAAAATTAATATTGCAGTTAAAAATGTTATTTTACAATACTATTTTCTTGAAATTTGTAAAATGCAATTTAAAACAGGCCAAATTCTTGACATGAAAATAAAATGAAATGAACAATAAAATGAAATGTAATGCAAATTTGCAATGTATCTAATTTAAAATAAACAGGAAAAAACATAAAAGAAAATCTGCATGATTTATGTATTTTTCTTTGTTTAGAAGTTAGTTGAAAAGCTGAAGATGATAACTGTCAAGTACAAACATGTAAAAGAAAAGGCACTGAAAATGAAGGAAAAGGTACTGATGGAGGTTACATAATAAATTTATAAGTAGGTAAATTAAAAGATGAAATTTAAATCTGTTACTAGAAATGCAAAATTATGTGTTAATTTCAATATTCCTTTTATAAAATTTTAGCTTAAGGAGAACCTACAAGAGAAAAAAGAAATTTGGTCTTTACCAACAAAAACAATTAAGGTGAGACACACATATTAAACAGATTAATAGTATTCATAAATGAACAATACAGCTACAGTTTATAACTACTTCTTCAAGTACACTGTTTTGTTGGATATACATGTATCTTTATCCTTAAAGGAATACTTTTTGATATGTAGGAAAAGAAAACTGTAAAGAAGCGTAAGAAGAAACTCGAAAGAAAAATAAAGAGAATTAGAAAGATCTGCAGAATAACTAGAAAGGAATTGAGAAGAATTCGAGAGAGGGTAAACTTTCATCCATGTTTGAGATTTCTTTTATTTTTATAAAACATTTGATAGTAGATAGTATATGTGCTTTGTCGTTTTAGAGGAGAAAATTGCTAGAAGAGATGTACAAGGTAGGTAAAATGTAAGGTGTGGACATTTCTTCATTTCTTGATTTTTAATAATTGTGTGCTTTATCAGTTAAATATATTTGAAAGAACATAATATCCTTATTGTCATAATTTGAATGCTTTTTCCTTTATTTTTTCAAGTTTTTAATTTTTAGCTTTAATTTAATAATGGCTCAGTCCGATATAAATACGAATTACCAGTTTATATAAAAACATAAATCTATAAAATTATTTAGCTTCCATATAAATCTCTAAGCACAATCAACCAAAATAGTGCTATTTTCCACAAATGGAACTTTCTATTGAATAGAAAGTATATTGAATAACATCATGACTTTTTCATGTTTCTATTTTTATTTCATTTATATTTTATTTATTTATTTATTGTTTTTGTTTTTTCGACATTGGATCTGAATCTAATAAATTTTACAATAGAATATTGAGTATTTTAATGATCAACTAGAAAAACACAGTTTGAAAATAAAACACCCTTTTCATCATTTTGACTTAAGTATATTGATCAAGCAAATATAAATGCAATTAAAATATGACATAATGCATTTCATTAATTACAGAGGAGGGAACGCGGAGGAAAGATAAGCGAAGTAAGTAAGAGTTGATTAAAGGCTTCGCATAGACGCCACCTTAATTGGTAAGGAATACAGATACAATATCTGTGACTGCTTGTATTACAATACAAAGGTCTGATATAAGTTTGAGCTCTGCTCATTGTAGACTTGAAATGGTTAAGCATTGGTATAATAATTTCTAGTATTTCAAAAGGAAACTTTTCTTCTTGTTTTGTCTGATTTGAATAAAGATTGCCAAAATAGCTGTTAATGTCAAATTTTGAGGCGTCAACTTCAAAGATTGATAAAAAAAATTTCATTCTGTTATTAAAAATCAAATACATGTCAATGCACTATCCCTGATACAATTTTTGATTTTTGTAAAACTTGATACAATCGTAATTACATAAGGATGTACATTTCCATGTTTTATTGTTACTTTTACTAGGAATCATTAATGGTATTTTTGAAATATATATATATATATATATATATATATATATATATATATATATATATATATATATATATATATATATATATATATATATATATATATATTAACTACTACATTTCCTACAGTTTTTGTCTGGTTTGAACAAGTTTTGATACAAATGATAACTACATAAAGATACGAACTTATGTACAATCCATACTTTACCTGGCACACTGCTTTTACTTAAAATATATCAATAAGTTTAAATTATCTTAATATGATACCTCTGCTAAAGCTTATTACATGTAGAGTACAACTTGATACATGATCCCGATGTAATTATTAATGGTAAAACAAAGTGTGTATTTTACATTTATTTTACATTTAAATTTTACGTTTCCAAATGCTGCCCAAGAAGCTATTTTTAACGTGCTTTTTTTGTATTTTTTAAAGATGAAAATCCAGAATGTTAAGAAAAAAAAATCTTTTATGCAACTGTTTTTCTTTGAACCCTTTTCGGTTTAAATTTGTAGAGCTATACACATTTTACAGTAATAAGCATAAAATTCATTTTGTTTTCTTCAGTTAAAATTGTTCTATGTACCCAATATTGTTTTGCTCAAGGCATTTTTCGAATTAAAAAAATTTGTTTTAATTTTCTTTTAGACAAGGACAGTCAAGAGAAGAAAATTTCCTATAGTAAGTCATGACATTATGAGAAGTAAATATTAAAGTCTGGAGCATGTTTGGTCCCTAAATGAATAGTGGCCTTGACTCATTTTATCAAGATTACATATAGATAAACCTTAAAGATTAAAAAATGGCTTCTTATTTTCTCCTTTAATAATTTCTTTAATATTCATCAAAGAAGCAAGTTATTGATAGCTTAGTTGTTTATAATACGTGTACATGTATTTGTAAAGGGTAACTGCACTTAACACTGGGTTTTGGGTCTTTTTTCGTCGCCTCTGTTGCTTTTATATCTAAACCTTATTTCACTTTTGTATATTTACTAAAGAATTCTGTCAATTTGGCACCAAAGTTAAATGATAAGTTATTTTAGACTGTGATACAATAACATTTTTTATGTTTTTTGTCCTTACTGTTTTCCAAATATAGAGAATTCACACTTACCTGCCCATGATTATGCATTAGATATGCATGAGAGGTGGAGCTAACATTGTAAGAGGGGCTCTAAAGTAAGACTAGATAAATAACAATAACATTTATAAAAATAAGAGATTACTCTTTCCCATCTCCCCCTTTATTCTGTATGGCACGAGTACACTATTAACAAAGGTTTCAAAACGAAATTAACAATATCAGCACGTCTTTGTAAGGAAAGAATACTGTGAATCGATGCCTGACAATTCAACGTGTTCGAGCACAGTGTCCTAGTTAGCACAAAACATGCTACCTTACAAGTCATGTGACGGAATTTAGTATTCAAAGAGTTACCTGAGATAAGAAATCACGTGGGGAATTATAATATTCAACATGCCATAGTCCTTGGTTACAACAGAGAGGGCGAATGTAAGAAGAAGCATTTTTTTCTCATTTAAATCATGAGCGCATGTTTGTCTATTAATCTCCTTTTGACACATCATTATCAATGCAAATATAAAACTACTGTTTAACGGAGAACAATTGACAAACATGCGCTGACTATGTATAAAATCAGTGAAAAGGTGGGCGTCCTAATTATCGTACGGAGATTCAACAAATTGTGATGACTCCCGCCTTTGAAATCAGCTTCGTACTTCGTAAATACATACTTTTATTTAATGTAATTATGTAAAGTTGTAGATCAGATGTTGACCGTTTCTGCAATTAAAAGAAAAATGCTTGTTTTGAAAGTTTATTCAGTTTCAATTTTGGCATGTCCTTAAGTGCAGTCATCCTTTGAAGACAAAACATTTTAATTTTGAATCAATATAATTTCACTTTTTCATTCTTTGATTTTTCGTTTATCAAAAGAAAGTGATCCCAGATCGTGGTAAAATCAGGAAACTTCCACTAGGAGCAGTGAAAGTCACTTTTGAAAAGGTATTACACTTGCTATGATTTATTGTTCTTTTCTTTCATTTTTTTCATCACTCTTCTTGCATTAATTTAATTTGAAAAATGAAAAGATATTCTATGGAAAACTTTGAGATCAATAAAATTGTAGAATTCAATCTCAAGGAAAGATTTAAATATTTTACGTTGAGTGATGTAAAATTTGTAGGGCAGCATATGCATTTCTATTTCTTTTATGGTGGTGGACTATAACAAGAGTAAAAAAAATCCGGATTGCAGTGTTATATCAGAATACGATTATCTTGAAATCGCTGTTTTCATTTAACAATATTTAATACTCAGAATACACACCAAGCTCTTAACTCTGAAAATTGAAATGAATTGCAAAATCTTGGTAGTATAATGAACAAGAATAACATCGAAGAAATAATTTAATGTAGTATTTTGTGTTTTAGAAGTTAGTTGAAAAGCTGAAGCTGAAGATGATAACTGACATGTACAAAAATGTAAAAGAAAAAGTACTACAAATGAAGAAAAAGGTAACAATGGAATTTTATAATGAGTTTTAAGATGGTAATTATTAAATAAAATTTAAATCTGTTACTAGAAATGCAAAAAAGTTCTTAAATTGCATTTTTTTAAAATAAAATGTTAGCTAAAGGAGAAAATACAAGAGAAAAAAGAAATTTTGTCCTTACCGACAAAAACGACTAAGGTAAGACACACATCCTAAACAGGTTAATAGCCTTCTTAAGTGAACAATACAGCTGTAGTGTACAACTACTTGTTGAAGTACACTGTTTTCTAGAATAAACATGTATCTTTATTCTTAAAGGAATACTTTTTTGATATGTAGGAAAAGAAAACTGTAAAGATGCGTAAGAAGAAACTCGAAAGAAAAATAAAGAAAATTAGAAAGATCTGCAAAATAACTAGAAAGGAATTGAAAAGAATTCGAGAAAGGGTAAACTTTCATCCATGTTTCAATTTTGTTTCATTTTTACGAAACATTCAATATTATATAATTAATGTGCTCTGTTGTTTTAGAGGAGAAAATTGCAGGAAGAGATGTACAAGGTATGTATAACTTTTAAAACTGAGGTATTTGTTCGACGGTTTTTCATGAATTTGTGCTGTATCAGTTAAATACATATGAAAGACTGTAGGAGCATATTGAATGCCTTTTTTTTTAATTTAAATTTTTTTTGGAATAAGTCCTATTGATTTTTATTTTTAAGGATGGTTCAGTGGCAAATATAAAAATAAAAATGTTAGCAGCCTTCTTATATACATGTGCACATAAACAATCAAAATTATAACTTTTCCCCGAGGGAAACTTTCTAGAAAAGTATATTAAACAATATCATGATTTTTAAGTTTTATTGTGAAGTTCGATCTGATTCATCTAAATTTTACCAATATTGCATGAGGTTCTGAATCTCAGAGTTCAACTAGGAAAACGAAGTATGAAAAGTAATACACTTTTCGAAATGTTACTTTTGAAACCATTTATACAGTGCTTTTCTTCTTTTAATTGTGTAAATTAAAAAAATAATATACGTTTTCTAGATAATTCAGGATAAAATCGTGTGCAAATATTATCTTTGAATCTTTGTTTGGTCTAAATCATTAGATCTACACAGAATCTACATTAATTGGCATAAAATTCTTTTTTTTAACTCAAGTTTTAAAAAAGTCATTCTATATACACAATCTTACGGTGCTCAAAGCATTAATGAATCACAAACTTTTGTTTAAATTTTCCCTTTTATTTCCTTTTAGACAAAGACAGGCAAAGGAAGAAAATCTCCAATAGTAAGTTATTAAGACATTGCAGATATTAAATTCTGGACTTAGTTTATAGTCCATGATAGAATTATAAAGGTCGAGGAGAAATAATCATGATTTCACTTAGAAATTACAGTAAAAAAGCTGACTAATAATTTGTTTTTAATAAGTTCTTTAATATTCATCAATGTAGCATTTTCGACAGAATAGTTGTAATAAAAGTATATATGAAGACAGATAAGTTTTATTTTGAACTGATATTATTTTACTTTTTTCATTCTTTGATTTTTCGTTTGTCCAAAGAAAGTGATCCCAGATCGTGGTAAAATCAGGAAGCTTCCACTAGGAGCAGTAAAAGTCACTTTTAAAAAGGTATAACCTTAACATTAATTAATTATCCTGTATTTCCCCCTTAGTTTTTTTTTATTGCAGTTAATTTGAAAGGGAAGATAATCTATGCTCATTTTCAAGATTATTAAAATTTTGAAATTCAAACTCAGAAAAGATTCGATGATAAAATATTGAAATTCAAACTCAAGATTCTTTTTGTCATATCATGTTAAAGAGCAAGAGCCACTTAGGGCCTTTTTTGGCCCTGAGAATTTCTGAAAAATCGAAACTGCTCAGTTTTGGTTGAAAATGCTGTATTTATAGCTTGGACACTTGGGGACCATGTATCTATTGAACATGACGTAATTTTCTCTCTAGCCAATGCATTATGACGTCATAAAATGCGTCATTTTCTCATATCCTGTAAATTCCCTTAAAAATGACCAAAGGTTGAGGTATTTTTTCAATATTTCATATAGATCACAACCTCTGATCCAAATTATGCAATTACATAATGAAAGATCTGTTTCTGAAGATCACAAAATATGTTTTAATTTTTGGATCAAGGGCTGTGCTCATATTTTAATTCTTTGCTGAAGGTAGTTAAATACGAATGTTTTCTGCAAGATTCAAAAACATTGCATTTTCTCTAAGCCTGTTTTCCAATACGTGGATTCTCAAAAAGAAAATTTGTTATAGGAAATAAAGCACTAAGTCTCTACTTTATTTTGATATATGAAATGGGACAGAGGGTGATAGTCAATTTATTGATATAAGGACAGGGCCATTTTATGCATGAAGTGAACCTAGCTCTTTGTAGGACAACATGCATCTTTCTTTCTCTTAGATGATGGATTACAAGTATAATGTGGGAAAATCAGTTTTGCAGTTTATAATGTCATATCGTGATACTATTACCTTGAAAAATGTATTCGTTAAACGTCAATATTAACACTCAGAACACAGACTAAACGCGGGTTTGCTTTTGTCATCTATTTTGGCATATAATTTCCAAGGTATGTCTGTGCACATCAAGTATGATGCCAGTTTCGTCACAAAGAAAGACAAAAAGGTGACGCTCCACTTATTCCAGTTTTATTCTCTGTAAATTACTTTAGAAATAGTCCGTTCAAAACAAGTAAACTAATACAAAGTAAGTTAATCTCGAAATCTCTGAACAAAGGTAATTATAAGTTCGAATTCTGATATGATTATATGTAATGTCTATGGTGTGTAAATGTTAAAACAAACTAATACAACAGAATAGATACGATACCCAATACAAGGAATAATTTATATCCTAATTGATGCTATGATAAAAGTTAGTCATAATGAGACAGTGTAAAATAATGGTATTCAAAAAGAAGGTTATTGTTTAGCTGAAAACTAATAAGTGGGAAATGGTTATATAAAGTGTCGAAAAGTGGTACGTCTTGATGCTATTGATTTTGGTAAAATTTTGTGATTTAAAATTTTCTAAAAGTTCCTTGGAGTGTTTAATTATCCATATCTGATTAACACAATTTTCGAATATGTTGTTGTACAGTACTCCAGATGTTTTCACACTGTAGTTGATATTTTCTTGAGGGAGAAAAGAAAGAGGTTTGGTAGAACATTTACTAGAATTTGCTATGTACCTGATTGTAAGGATTTTTTTTGAAGTTTTGGAATCCAGTATGGATATGATAATTCATATTCAATTTGATTGTTGGCAATTAAAAAATTTAAAACTGACATACAGTGTATGGTTTTGAAGAATTTCCTTCTTCGAAAGGTAAACTATAAATTGGATTACAAATTGTAGAATTGAATCCAAGTTCCTCTAAAAGCAATTGTGATATTGAGCCTTACAAACAAAGACTATGCTGCTTCTCGTTTTTTTTCAGCTGGAACCAGTACATATTAATATGTATTTTATTCTTATTGAAGACCGAAGGATAGATGATTTAACAGGAGACTTAAATTTAAACATCCATCTTATATTTTTAATCTATTCTGACAAAGTGTCTAGGCCTTCCAATTCATATTTGACCCATCATCATTCATTATCTTTGATAGAATTTATAATATTTCTGAATTTTTGTCGCTAGTTGAAAATTTGGCCCTTTTAAAAAAAAGTGATTTAGATAATTATTGTTAACTATAAACTATATTCACATCACCAGTAATGGCGTGTCCAGCAGGACTGTAGTTGTAGGGAGAAGAACATGAGCATATAAGAGGATAAGTAGAGTTTTTAAAAATATTTTTAAAAGAGTTTGGAGCAATGAATATTTTTTGTAAGAAACACAAGGTGTGGACTTGAAGTATGGTGGAATACAAGACTGGGCCCTTTACTGATTAAGAATATTACTAAAGTTAATGACGTCAGTTCCTTTGTTGGCCAGGATTTCTTGAGGATTCTTGTATTCCGTAAAACGTGGATTCCTAAAAACCCTATGACTGGCAATATCCATAATCACAGAATTAAGTCTGTATCCTTGTATTGAAGAATGCAAGTATAAACTTTCTTCCTTGATATTTTGAAATTCCTAAATAATTCGTCTACTTCTGTAAAAAAAAAAAAAAATCTGACTTTTTTTTTCCCACAAATAATTCTATAAAATTGGTATAATAAAAACGCTATTTTCGATATACATGTATTTCAATAGAAAAACATAAAATGAGTTCCTCAAACTACACCACGTTCACAGTAATATTTAATTAAAATTAAGTAGGTAAACTTGATGAAAATTGCAGCTGATATGCTGCAAATTCGAAGGAGCGTTATGTCAGATTTTCAGGATATGTTTCTCAACTGATCTTAACACGGAAATTTGAAATATAATGCAAATTCATGGAAATATAAAGATCAACAATATCACTGAAGAAAATCTGCATGATTTATATGGTCTTTTTTGTTCTAGAAGTTAATTGAAAAGCTGAAGATGATAACTGACAAGTATAAACATGTAAAAGAAAAGGCACTGAAAATGAAGGAAAAGGTACTGGTGGAATTTATATGACGAATTTATGAGAAGGTTTATTAATACTAGTAAATCAAATTTAAATCAGTTATTTATAATGCAAAAAAGTTTTTTTTAAATTTTCCTTTATAAAATGTTAGCTTAAGAAGAAACTACAGAAGAAAAAAGAAATCTTAACCTTGCCAACAAAAACGACTAAGGTAAGACACACATCTTAAACATAACCTTCAAAAATGAACAATACAACTAAAGTGTATAACTACTTCTTGAAATACACTATTTTCTAGAATATACATGTATTTTTATTCTTAATGGAATATTTTTATATGAAGGAAAAGAAAATTGTAAAGAAGCATAAGAAGAAACTCGAAAGAAAAATAAAGAGAATTAGAAAGATCTGCAAAATAACTAGAAAGGAATTAAGAAGAATTAGAGAAAGGGTAAACTTTCATCCTTGTTTCAATTTTGTTTTATTTTGTTAAAAAATGATATTCGATAATTTATGTACTTTGTTGTTTTAGAGGAGAAAATTGCTGGATGAGATGTACAAGGTATGTATGATATGAGGTGGGGGCATTTGTTCGATGGTTTTTTCATAAATATGTCTTTTTTAGTTAATATGAAGGGGAAGAGGATCATTATTATCATAATTTGAATGCTTTTTTTTTAAATTTCTTTTTGAATATATCCTTTTGATTTTTAATTTTCAGTAGCAAATAAATAAAAGAGTTAAGGGGTCTACATGGGTTTTCATTCCGCAATACTTCTAACATGGTATTAAAATAAAGCGTTTTATGCTTTTAAAGAAGTAATTTTAAAACAAAATGTATTTTTCAAAAATGCTTTTGAAATTTTAAGCATAGGAATTTGAA